AATCTGGCTACCAGTATTTAAAAACTCTAAAATTACAACAGCAAAACAACAGAGAGGAAACAATCGGGAACAGCTAATCACCTCTCAACAAAAGATTCCCCCAGGCACTAGCAAGCCACACTAAAAAACTGCTAGGCCATCAAATGCTAATCAAGGTGGTCAGTTGAAACATTCACGCCTAGCTCCAGCAGACAAGGGTTCTTTGTCCCACCCTGGTCATTCCACAGATATATAAACCCATTTTCCTAGTTTCAACAGACCTCACTACCTCTGACGATGCTTGCCATAGATGCAGGCAAAACGTCAGGAGAGAATGCCTCTAGAACATGGCCATATAGCCAGAAAAAACCTACAACAACCCAGTTTTTCCTACTGTTCAGATGGAATCTCCTTTCCTGTAGTTTGAACCCACTGCTCCAAGTCCAGTTTCCAGTGTAGCAGAAAACAAGCCTGCTCCCTCTTCCTTGTGACATCCTTTCACATATTTATACATGGCTCTTATGTCTCCTCTCAACCTTCTCTTCTGCAGGCTAAACATACCCAGTTCTTTAAGACGCTCCTCAGAGTGCTTGGTCTCCAGACCTTTGATCATTTTAGTCGCCCTCCTCTGGACACCTTCCAGCTTGTCAATCTCTTTTAAACTGTGGTGCCCAGAATTGGACACAGTATTCCAAATGAGGTCTAACCAAAGCTGACTAGAGAGGCACCATGACTTGAACAAGACACTATAATCCTTTTGATGCAGCTCAAAATCACATTGGCTTTTTTAGCTGCTGTGTCATACTGTTGGCTCATGTTCAACTTGTTGTCCATGAAGACTCCAATATCTTTTTCACATGGACTGTTGTTGAGCCAGGCATAGCCCATGCTGTATATTTGCATTTATAGGCATTGAAAAATCATCTTAGTGTTTTTCGATACATAGAAAATCAAGGACATAACACTTAGCCATGTCAAGAAACAACTACGTGCTCTGAGTTCATGAGCCTTTCATGTGATTGTGAGAGGGAAGTGTAAATGCTGCATAAGATTTCCTCTTTCCTCTTTGTCTTTTCCCCTTTTTTGCATTGAAACTATTTGAGGTATGAGCCAATATGAACCAAATGTAGCTTCCCTGTACAATTGACTTGAAATGTTATTTTAAAGTGCATAATTACATTAAAAATAATAAGATGACAAATGAGTGAAGTCCAACATCTTCTGGCTTTATCAAGAAGAACTAATCCAAAAGGCTGACCCTTGAAAATACAATTATTGTAGAAATGCTGGATATGATTGTGCAATCAGGCAGCAAGTTGATGTAAAAAAAATCAATTCTCATACACAAGTCACCTTTTAACTCTGCTTGGAAACTTTGATCAGCTACTTCTGGTTCTATTCTTTGCTACTTTTGAAGAGTTAGCGATTTGTTCAGCAGTATTCCAAGGCCATCCATCTGGTATGAGGGCAAAGCAGCTTAAAAATAGGACCCCTTTTGTGTGCATAATGTGCACAAATTAATCCTCATGCAATGGTATAGTAACTAAATAATGAGTAAATACTAAATAACCTACAAAAGCGTAATAGGTAACAACAACACCGATGCTCTGTATGAATTTCTGGCTGTGAGACTAACAATCTGATCCCATCAATTTGTATTCAATTACTCAAGTAATACACAACTTTTTGATTAGAACACTGGGGGATTGAGAAAAGGACAGGACAGAAAAAAAGGGAAATAAGCACAGGAAAGTTTCCAGGAATTACGAGGGGTATTTTTTAAGTAAGGTCTGTTTGAACATAAGTACACAACGAAAAAGTACATTTATTTTCAGAAAGTAATCACTCTATTTTTCAACATAGCTGCCAAGTTTGTTCAAACACTTATCATACCTCTGAACCAATTTTAAAATACCTTCTTCATAAAAACTTGTCGCCTGCTCCGATAACCAAGAGTTCACTGTAATCAAAGAAGGGCGACCGGAGCAGTCCTTATCATGGACGTTGTCACGGTCATCTTTGAATTGTCATACCCACTTACTCACTTTGCTTTCACTCATAACAGTATCACCGTACACTTCACAAATCTGTTGATGAATTTCTGCACCAGGCAGGTTCCTTGCTGACAAAAACCGTATCACTGAGTGAACCTCACATGCGGAGGGTGAGTTGATAGTCTTAAACATTTTTAAAGCACAGAACAGAACCGTACAGGTTAGCTACAGAGCGGAAACTGAGCAGTTGTTCCCGAGGCATGCCGGTACACGACACACGCGCTCGTTGCGGTATGTGCGCGAACTACTAGTGTCTACAACAAAACGGACCTTACTTAAAAAATACATCAAATGAAGCACCGGTAATCCAGCCTTGAACATGGGCATGTCCTTAATAGTTAGTTGTTTAGCTATAAGAAATGTATCATCTACAGAGCTAGATATGATCAATGATATGTAAGTCCCACCCACATCAGCACACACCAAGTTTGGAGGAGGTCTACAGGCTGCCTAACTCCACAGTCATGCCAATATATAGTCCAAGGAAGGTAAGTGCTATAATCTTATTCCATGGGTTTTTTTAATCATAAAAGCTTTAATGCTCTGCCCTTTAGATCCATGCTTCTGAATGATCTGAAGAACCTTTATATTGTTCAGTTTCCTACATTTATGCTTAGACTTTGAAAGGGGAAATACAGCCATGGTGACAGACAAATATGCTGAATATGCAGCTGCTTTCACAAGTGCTATGTAACCACTATCTACACAGGATATTCACTTGACATCTTTGAATGTCAAGTATGAGTCCCAACAGGCTTCTTACAGTTGTTGAGCAAATTGACCATTGTGACGACTGCACATGAGTAGTTTTAGTTCCAGTAATGTAATAAATCTTGATGATCCTTGCCGAGATTCTTGTTTAGGGCAGGAGGCTTTATCCACATCTTGTCCTTAGCTCTTATTCTAATCACAAGAGCTCTAGAATGGTGTTTATACGGGTGTAGTTCTTGGACTGTTTTCATAACATGACACCCATGACATGAAGGTTTAACATACTTCCAGATGCTTGGCGATGTTTGTACACAGGGCAAAGGACATCTTTGATCTGTGTCCTCTCTTGTACCACTTCATGTGACCAGATTAATAACTGAAGAAGGTTCTTCTGTTGTTATTCAGTATGGAAGTTGAATACATTCTATGCATTGCCAACATGTAGCCATGGAAAATACTTAGCCATTTTCAATGTTGCCATTTTCCATTGGGTAAGATCTGGATGGGGTATACAACTGAGGTTAAAAATGTAATTGCAAGTTAAAATAATGTTACAACAATGATGCCAACAGCAAGGAATAATACTTAAAATTATTAATTTTCAACCGCTAAGCTGCTGGACTTGCTAACCAAAAGGTTGGCAGTTTGAATCCGGGGAGCAGGGTGAGCTCCTGCTGTGAGCTCCTCCTGCTCAAACTGCTAGTTTTTGCCAACCTAGCAGTTCGAAAACATGCAAATGTGAGTAGATCAATAGGTACTGCTTCTATAGGAAGGTAACAGCACTCCATTCAGTCATGCTGGCCACATGACCTAGGAGGGGTCTACAGACACCACCGGCTCTTCGGCTTATAGAGATGAGCACCATCCCCCATGACTAGACAATGTTAGGGGAAACCTTTTCCTTTATTTTTAAAATCATTGAGTTGGAAGAGACCACATGGACGATCAATTCCAACCCCCTGCCATGCAGGAAAAGCACAATCAAAGCACTCCCAATAGATGACCATCCTGCCTCTGCTTAAAAGCCTCCACCACACTCTAAGGCAAAAGGTTCCACTGTTGAACAGTTCTTATGGCCTGGAAGTTCTAATAATATTCAGGTGGGATCTCCTTTCCTGTAATTTGAACCCATTGCTCCCAGTCCTATAAGCTAGCTGGCATCCCCACTGCCCTACCCCGATATGTAATGGGATCAGCCTTCTCCTGGTAGACTCGTATCAAGAATAAGCTTCATGAGAACCACTACTCTTCCAGCAACAGCAAGAGTATCCCTCTGGGCAGCTAAACCAGGAAATCCCAATTGGATGGCCCCCCACGAGGGTCTGCCTTCAGGCATAAAGCAAGAATGGGCAACTTGAAAGTCCCTGAACAGACACAGAATTGGAGTGGGCAGATCAAGAGACAACCTGGCAAAATGGTAGTCTCACTTATCCAACATAAATGGACCAGCAGAATGTTGGATAAGCAAAAATATTGGATAATAAGGAATGGCTGAAGGGAGAAATGAAAGGCCTGAGGCTGTTAGGAATGGTGGGAGTTGAAGTCCCAAACACCTGGAGGGAAGGCCCAAGCTTAAGCGGCCGAGGGGGGAAAGGAAGGGGCCAGAGGCTGTTAGGAATGGTGGGAGTTGAGGTCCAAAACACCTGGAGGGAGGGCCCAAGCTTAAGTGGCTGAGGGAGGAAAAGAAAGGGCCTGAGGCTGTTAGGAATGGTGGGAGTTGAAGTCCAAAACACCTGGAGGCATAGCACAAGCTTAAGCGGCCTAGGGGGGAAAGGAAGGGGCCTGAGGCTGTTAAAAACGGTGGGAGCTGAAATCCAAACCACCTGTAGGGCCCAGGTTTGCCCATGCCTGCCTTGGGGTTTATGAGCCTAGACTAGCGGGTCCTGCTGCGCGCCCGCTTCTCGCTCGGCCTCTCCTTGGCTGGTCCTCTTCCTCAGCCGTGAATCCCTTTTCTCACCCGAAACTGGCTTTATTTGACTTGGAGCCTGCATGCTGCCCTGCGAGCCCTTTTTGCACGCCTCCCAGAAAACAAATGTGCCTGAAATTGTGAAACCAAAGAGGGCGGAGATGAAGGGGAGAGCGCGGGCTTGTCCTTTCCTCCCTCAACTCGACCACAAGGCTTCCAACTAAGGCGGCCGTTTTCGCTTTTTTTGGCGCTCCCAAACAGGTCCCGGCGGGTCTCGGGAAGCATTCGCTCCGAACAGTTCCTGCAGATTTGGGAGAGGCGGGAGTGTGGAAGGGGAAGGCGGCGCCCGAGGAAGAAAACGTCCATGAAAACAATGTGGGGAGCTGTCCTGCCCGGGCGCCTGTGAAGAAAGATGGACTAGAAGGCGGAGAGAGAGGCCGAGGGAGGCCAGAAGAGCCCGGCCCTGCTCAGGCAAAGGCTGCCAGGCGGTGCTGCATCTCCCTCCACCTGAAGCCCTAGAGAGCTGCTCCAGAGCTGGATGGACCAAGGGAGAACACACCGTGAAGCAACTTCCTGACCCTCCTGCCAGTCCTAATAAATGTCCCCATGAGCTCTTTCAAAGAATGGGCTGGACATGTCACCAGTGTTCCTTGAAGGTACGCAGTGCAGGGCTATTCGGGTGTCTAGCAGAGCAGAGTGCAGCCAAGTCAAGTTTTTCCCCTGACATTAAGTCCAGTCGTGTCCGACTCTGAGGGTTGGTGCTCATCTCCATTTCTAAGCCAAAGTGCCAGCGTTGTCCATAGACACTTCCAAGGTCATGTGGCCAGCATGACTACATGGAGCACTGTTACCTTCCTGCTGGTGCAGTACCTATTGATCTACTCACATTTGCATGTTTTTGAACTGCTAGGTTGGCAGAAGCTGGGAAATTGTGGGAATTGAGGCATTTCAATGCATTTCAATGGGGAAATTAGGTTTAAGATATGAGTGATTTGAGTTAAGAACTCAGCTGTGGAATGAATTAAACTCTTAACTCAAGGGATTACTATTTTTTTTATATCCCAATCCAGAACTCAAGGTGAATACAACAATTAAAACAAATATAACGAAAACATTACCTCCCAAAATATTTAAAATACATTTAAACTATCAAGATTAAAAGCAATTAAAAACAAAATCTCCATACCAGAGTTATTGAGACATTTTTATCCAAGAATGTCCCTCAACATTTTAAGAAAGATAGGGTTTAGACCAGGCATGGGCAAACTTGGTCCCTCCAGGCATTTTGGACTTCAACTCCCACAATTCCTAACAGCCTCAGGTCCTTTCCTTTTTCCCCTCAGCTGCTTAAACTTAAGGGCCTGAAGCTGTTAGGAATTGTGGGAGTTGAAGTCCAAAACACCTGGAGGGACCAAGTTTGCCCATGCCTGGTCAAGATGCTTCAAGGTGGTTTTGGAGGGTGCAAATTGGAGTCCTGGGATCCATCTGTGGTGATGTAGGAGTCCTAAAATGCTGTCCATTACTGCTGTCATACTTGGCAACAGGACTAATGAAAAGGCAAATAATTGCACCAATGTAAATCTTTGTCCCGGTTCACAGTTTGAAAGAGTAAATTCCAATTTTAAGAATTTTGCAATATTCAACTGCTTTGTAACATCTCATATGTGATAGTAACAGTTAACCCTGTGATGTTATAATTTATAAATAACATTTTTTGGAATCAGAAATTAAATTTTGCCTTTCTGTAGAAGCTACGTGCTGAGTACATCCTATTCAAAAGTTAACTCTGCTCCGTTTACTATTCCCACTGGCCTTCTGACTCATGATCCAGTAATTATTGGCTTTATGGCTCTCTGATTCTGCTTTATTGGATGGAGGTTCCCTTTTCCTATTTGCATGAATGCAATTTATTGACTCACTCCCCTTTCCCAATTAATTGTCTTTAATTAGACTGAACTTGCTGGTGTGTTTAGTTTTCTCAGAGTTGTTTCAGATATGATAAGCTCATGAGGCTTTGCTCCGTCAGACTCTCCAATTCTTTGTGAAACATTATCCTCTTAAAAGTTAAAGGGGTTAAAAGTTTCTAGAAAGAGTTTTTTTTCCTGTGCTAGGTTTCATGACTCAGCACAGGTGTACTAAGCGCCTATTGGATGGCTCAGCACCAATCTTCTTCTGTCTGTATCTCATGCAGGAAACAATATTTACTAAACTGCAAACAGGGCACAAGTCTTCACCAGTGACACACTTTTAACCCCCTTGAATTGAACTTTGTGCTTCTGCTGATACTAAAATCTCATGCAAACTTCTATGTATGTACATACACATGAATGTACTGTTTTCTAATCTTGTAATTTGTATATGTCCCACTTCTGCTAACGACAAGAAGTAAGAATGATGCAGACAGAAAGCTTTCATAAATAGGAAGGCAGTTTGATTCTCTCTCCACCCCCCACCCCCCTTTCAAGTCACTGATGTCATAGATAGCTAACTTGGGGTGCTTTCAGACAGCACTAAATAACGGGTTTTAAACAGGGGCAAAAAATCCCAGGACTTCAGAAGAGGTCCACATACAGACCTGTTGGTGCCTCCATTGTCCAGGCTTGATGCTTTCTTTCGAGATTTAGAGACTCCCAAGATGGCCACCACAGGACTTCTGCTAGAATATTTGGCATTTTTTTAAAAACCCTCAATATGCAGATATGTGGAAAATCACTGCAAAACTTCCATCCTTTGTCCTGGCCAGAGAAACTGTACCCTCCAGACATTCCATGATGTATCTGCCACACAAACAAAGTTTACGGGGTAGTACCACTTCTACCCAAGTCAGCACTGCAAAATCAAAGAGGAACACACACTTTCAAGCCAGGAACAGAACTTTGTCATTACTGACACTTTTTAGATCCTGGCTGCCTGGCCATCTGTGCAGACAGATTTGGTTGTGTACTTGTATCAAACAACAGAGTGCTGTTCCTAGGTTATGCATGGCTCTTCCTGATTGCTTTTCTTGTGGAAAGATGCACAACATTTACTAGGGAAGTACAACTTTGTCCTGGCTAGAGAAAATGTGCCCTTCACACATTTTCTGGCACACAAACAAAGTTTTTGCCTTCTATTCAAATGTCACCTTTTTTTTAGGAACCGACTCATCAACAATAATCTAAAACCTGGGAACAAACCCAAATTAAAACATCTCATGATTACCGATTACAGGGACATACACACATGTGAAGATTTGCATATTTGGCTCAAAACCGCGATATTCCAGCACTGGGAAATCACATGTTTTTTGCTTTTTGTAGCAATTGCTTTCGCATTTATAGGGAACAGCATCTGGCCACCCTCCTGTTTGCTGCGGAAGCACCTGGGATAAAGGTACTGTCTGGATGGGCCCATTGATGTATGTGGAATGGAAAAGTAGTCATGTCAGGAGCAACTTGAGAAACTGCAAGTCGCTTCTGGTGTGTGAGAATTGGCCGTCTGCTATGACATTGCCCAGGGGACGCCCGGATGATTTAATGTTTTTATCATCCTTGTGGGAGGCTTCTCTCATGTTCCCGGATGAGGAGCTGGAGCTGATAGAGGGAGCTCATCCGCCTCTCCCCGGATTCGAACCTGCGACCTGTCGGTCTTCAGTCCTGCCGGCACAGGGGTTTAACCCACTGCGCCACCGGGGGCACCCGGTGATGGAAAAGTAGTGATTTAGATGCATTTGCTTTGTAAAGTTAATGTAGCTTTAAAATCAGCGCTGTATCAGTGGTACATCATCAGTACCTTATACCTCTTTGACATTGAGAACTGAATGTGTTTAAAGACTCAGGAAGCATCATAAAACCTAACAGGAGACCATGTTAAGACCTTTGTCTCAGTAGCTGAACTTGCAGGTAGTAGTCTCATGTAAGGGGAAAGGTAATGCCACAATGACTTCGGGATAATTAAGTATATAAATCTGTACTTATATTTGTGAATGTATCCAATTAATCAAGTGTTAAGGAATGATACATTCAGAACTCCTAAGGTGGTTGCTTTTGTTATGTCCCTACCTGTCAAAGAAATATGCAAACTCTTAACTGGCGCAAAATGATCTAGAGTATAGAATGGAAAAGCAGCCATTGTAAAGAAACACCTTAAATGTGTATGTGATTGTATGTGTGAGAGAGATTGTGTACAAGCTACCTCACTTAGCAAAGTATTTGACAAAAAAGTTCATTTTTACAAGGAGCCACCCAGTCCACCTTTTCCTCCTTTTTCTCTCTCTGGCTGGATGATGTTTAACAGCATTGGCATCAGAAAGAGGGCTGGAAAAAACACAGACTTTTGGTGCTGAGTTGCAGTGGTGTGTCTGCAGTTAACAATACAGTAAACTTATCTTTTTGTTGACTAAAATAGACAAGTTGAAAGGCTTCTGTCTCCAAACTCCCTTTCTAAACATGCATGAACAACAAAACACAAGTAAAGAAAGGATGAGAGCCGATAAGCCTGTCTCAGTAGTTATTTCCAACATGTTGAAAAAACATAGATCTGTAAGCTAGACTAGCAGAAGGGAAATCATAAAATACTCACACCGCTACAGTAGGATCAATTAGTATAGAATCTCGTTCTTTCCCAAATCACAATTTATTTCATTGTATACTGCAAATATCGGCTTCAGTATGACACTGAAAATTGGTATTTCTCCAGCTCTCAACCATCTTCCCAATATTGATTCTGCTTTTTAAAAAAACCTTCCAGCTATACAGATGACAAGAAGGAAATGATGAGGGCTGGCAAAAAAAAAAAAAAAAAAAAAGACTTCTAAAACTAAGGATACATTATAGCCATGTATAAATATGTGAGAGGAAACCATAGGGAAGAGGAAACAAGCTTGTTTTCTGCTGCCCTGGAGACTAGGATGCTGAACAATGGCTTCAAACTACAAGAAAGGAGATTCCATCTGAACACTAGGAAGAACTTCCTTACTGTGAGAGCTGTTCAGCAGTGGAACTCTCTGCCTTGGAGTGTGGTGGAGGCTCGTTCTTTGGAAGCTTTTAAACAGAGGCTGAATGGCCATCTGTTGGGGGTGCTTTGAATGCAATTTTCCTGCTTCTTGTCAGGGGGTTGGACTGGATGACTCACGAGGTCTCTTCCAACTCTATGATTCTATGTAGTATATGCACCATACGGCTTTGTTGGCTACAACATATCAAATGCTGAACTCAATGGAATATTATTTCTTATGTTTCTTGTTAAATCTGACTAAATGATTTCCTTCCAACAGTCTTTTTCACGAAACATTTCTGCCACTGCTTCAAATACTCTACTTCCCCATGGGAAAAAGTAAGCATGTGCATCTTTGCTCCCCAAGGAAAGGCATGTGTGTGTGTGGGGGGGGGGGGGGGGCTAAAAGAGGATAATATAGGGATAAGATTTTCCCTGCCCCATGTCTGATACTTGTGTCCTGCTATAGATCACTGCCACTCAGGCATGTGGCCGGGGGGGGGGGGGGGCTTGAGGGGCTTCAGCCCCCCCCCCCCCGAAATTCTCATGGTGGTTCGCGAAAAGGCCTTACTGGTGCATTATTTAAACTGTTATGTTTATTCATATCATGATATGATCACCATACTCAATATATCCCATATGCATGGGGGTATTGGGGTAATGATACAAAAGGTTTGCTAGG